TGCCATCTGGTGGCCAGGATGTTACATAGAGAATGACCATCCACCTGACTGACAACCAACCAACCGTGTCCTTCGCTCTCATTAACCATCCCTCAACATGTGACCCTGTTTCCTACGCTCTCATTGGCTCTAGCTACTTCTTGTTGTGAAGAGCGCGAACAGAACCGGATTCGTCGCTTTGAGCAGAGAGAAAGGAAAAAAGTCAAGGTGAGTTTATGGTTTTACCTATTTAATCTGTACAGAATATTTTATTCAAGAAATAATTTGGTATCTTAAGATGCATTCCATTTGAACGGGGAAGATGGAATTTCCGAGTTTTCCATGTCTGTTGAAGAGAAGCTTTGCTAGAAACGTCACTTTGTGCAATGTACAATTGCTAACGGAACCCTGTAGTACGCGAGATATGGTTTTGTCATATCTTGGGTTGTAATAGTATGTGGGACATAGGTAGCCTCTATGCTAGAATTCTGTTTATATGTAAAAACAGTATTGGTCTAGTTACTCAATGGGCTGGTTGCACGGGATGTCGAGTTATAACTACGAGGTTAAGTAGCTAGCGTAACATTAAACTGTGCATGCACACAGTCCGTGAAGCGGAAGTAAAACAAATGTCGCGCTAGCTACTTAGTCTCGTAGTTGTGTAAATAACTCGACGTGCTCCCAGGGAACGGGGACACGCATTCTCAATATGATGGACATCATTCACATTTATTTGGGTAAGATCTTGCAAAAACTCGAAAACCTTGACATGGTCTTGGGAAGATAAACTGTACGGAGGACGGAACAGAACCCGACGTCACTGGAAGCCCCATGTTTATCCGGTTAGGTATAGACGTTTTAAAACACAAGCTGGTAAAAAACAAAACAAAACATAATTGGGTTTATATATAACTGTATATATAACAAAACTATCTTTGCTTGGACAAGTTAATACTTTATTTTTTTTTATAAGGTGAGTTCATCATGGATGAATGTAAACCTCTTAACAGTTCGTTTTAATGGAGCTCAAATATGAGCTGTTACATTGTTACATAGCATGTTGTGGCGTCTTTACATTTATCAAACACCCTACAGCAGTTACTTCGTATTTTGTATGGTAATAATCTGGGTCACAACAGCAGTCCACTGAGAATATTAGAAGAGTGGCAGTCTTTGGTATGGACACAAAAGTTTATCACTACCACAGTCTCTGGAGAGGCAGCTGAACATGCTCATGAACATGCTGTAAACAGTCACCGTGGTTCTTTTACCTTTTCCACTAGTACAAGGTCAATGTTAGAAAATGAAGAGCTGCCTCTGGCCTCTCCCATCTTGCAGTATAATTTACAGGTGATCCCATTCACTGACTGAGGAACATCAGTTTAGCTGCTGTGTGGTGTGTTGAACACACACATATGGGTGCGGATTTATAATACATGTAACTGTCTCTCATATAGAGATTCATTTCACTGACTGCACCACTGGTCTGCTGTAGTTCACTTTGCTTCAGGTCAATACAGTGCTCTTCTTCCTCATATTAATATTAGCTCAGTTTACAGGATAACTGAAAGTAAGTATAGAAATGCAGGATTTGTGATATAAATTACTTCTGGTATTTCAGCCCCATGTCTTACTGTATGTGTGATGTGTTTACTTGTGAAGGCGAGATGGGTGAGGAGACCAGGTTTACAACTGGCCAGGCTGGGCTACCAGTTGCAACACATCATTGTAAGATGCTGGTTTACTTTCCTTATCAAGTATCACTGATTTGTTTACAGCTGCAGCTCGGCCTGAAGAAGAGAGAAAACAATTGTTCTGATAAGAATAAGTAACTGTAAAGTGACGTGACACAGTTTATTTGACTCGGTTCCTGGTTGGTGAACCGCCAGCTTGATGGTTCACTACTGCACCCACAGTTGGTCATGTCTTACAGGCAGCACATGTATGGGGGTGGGGTGTTGACATTTGTCTGCCATTTTTTAGTTTTTATTCTTTTGGCACGTACAGTAATGACTTCATCTTCAGATCCGGTTCCTCTCATGCAAGAATGAACTTATTAGATTTTGGTGGTCAAAGGTCACTGTGACCTCAAGGCTTTGCTAAATCAGCTCTAACAAACTAGAGTCTTTGACCCCCTTACACACAGTTCACGTGATGATTATTTTGTTGTCCTTCAGCTGTAACTCGGAGGGAAGCTGGAAACATGATTGCCCGGGACGGAGGTAACATCAGCGCGTCGCAGATCATCGGTAACAATACAAACAGGGATTTAAACTACACTGAAAACAAGATAACCAACATATATGGTAAATGTTTGCCTTGAATTCATGATTCAAATATATTATTATCTGTGATTGTATAGTTGTCTGAAAATGAACCAACCACTCATTGTTTGTAAAGAGATGCTTTTCAGTTTCAGGTCCACTTCCTGCCAGCACAGATCAGACTGGTGCTGTTTCTTCCCAAACCAAAGGTACTGTGCCTCTTGCTTTCACTGCACTTTACTGCCAGCAGAACACAGAGTGACCTGTGATGAAGGTGTTGTTGAGATGATGCAGAAGTGCTGAATATTTCCATCCAGCAAAGTTTGTCGGTCACTTAAAACAGGAAGGGCATTACTCCAGCTGCATACCAGTGATGGTTAACTGTAGGGATGCACTGATACCAGTATTGGGTTCGATACCACCATCTAGTGTTTGTACTTGTAAAAGTTGTCTGATACCCTCTGATACCACTTAACGGCAGCATTATATAAACCTCACGCTGGCTGAGCCACTTGTTAGGTGGTGGAGAAGACATTTCAGTGCTTCATGGATAATTTAAGATAAGTGACAACGACATAAGTAAAGCTGACTGCGAGCCCTGCTTCTCTGCTCTGTTGAGCGCGTAAGCCCCTCCCTCCCTGTCACACACAGACATGCACTCGCATTTTATAAAGACGTCAACATATGGGCAACAAAACCTACAGTAATGGAGAGAGTCT